TGCGGACGCTGTGTTTGCAACATGGCCCTCTAATAACATTCCACTTGAACCTGACACAAGGGAATGCTGTGGTCCGATACAGTTCCAAGGAGGAAGCAGCCAAGGCCCAGAAGTCTCTCCATATGTACGTTTCTGCTCGCTCTTTCCTTTGTTAGGAAGCCGGTTTTATCTCAGAAACTGTTTTCTTAGGCATTTATGTGCTAGGACTCAGAACTGATCACTGGTTAGTTTAATCCAATTTTGGAAATTACCTGATGGGAGAGCAAAAAAATAATTGGGGGCTAGATACTCACACACTACTGAATAAAAGGTCATTACGAAACTTCATCATAGATATTCAGCATTAATCCTGTGCTCAGTAAGGATCTGTCACCTGTACAGCTGCAAAGGACTTGTAAGCTGCCATAAGAATTCCAAAGGAAGCTCCGAGAGAAGAGAGCACGAGACAGGGTTTTAGCTTAGAGAGCAACAGAAAGGACAAAATGGTGATAAATAAGGGATGTGTTCATGGTGGTCACCTTTTTTTAAAGGACTTAGGAAAAAAGACATTGGAAGAGATGTATGACAACAGAATGTGCTTTTAGGTGTTTTAAAATCCATGGGACTAATTGGCATACCACACAAGAGCTGGAGAATTTGAGTGATAAAATCAGTGACGTTGGGGAGGATTGAGAGTATAGAGACTGATGTTTCCAAAGAATACTGGGGTGCTTAGAGTTGGAAAGCAATTGTCTTTGTCAAAAGGTGATAGTTTGAGTATAATCAAAAATATCATAGCAGAAACAACGTTTGGAACTAGCTGTACTGCTGACCAGATTGCCTTCCCTGTACTTGGAGATTTAGGAGCAATGGTTACTCCATATGAAAAGCTGCAGCTGCTTTCCCATCGTGAACCTGATTAGCAGAAAATGGAGTGGCAATAATGGCATTACTGACCGTCTTGCTTTTTTAACTGTTGAGCATTCTGTAATTAAGTATTATGAAGCAGGGTTCAGATTGACCCATTTAATTACATCAGTTTAGATGTGGGCATCAGGTAGAAGAAATAATGCCAAAGGCAAAATTAATACGTGAGTTTAAAGATAAGTGCTTATTTTAAATACGTACATGGCAATGTCCTTATGTTACCACTGATCTGGAAGGCCCCCGTTTAAACTGGTTTTTCAGTAGGTAGTGGCATAACTGTAGTTACAGTGCTGGCAAGGCCAGGACAGACCTTTCCAAACGGAAAGGTTGAGCTGTGTGTGTGTTTGGTTTGCTGGCAGGGTGTCTGGTGAAATGCAGTGGGATTTGTGGAAGCCAGCAGGACAGTATTAGAGTTCCAAGAGATACCGGGCACTATCTGTTTCACAGATAAATATTTACATGGAGTTGATCACTGAAAAATACATCACAGAGCCAACAGTCTCAGATCGCATCTGATTTGGTATGAGAATGGTTTGCTCACGCTCTCCATCTCTGGTTGTGTGGGCCTTTTTTGCTATGTAAATTAGGAGCAGCACTGATTAATACTTTTTGAAAATGAATTGAAAATTTTATGAAGAATGTGTAGTTTTGAAGGACTGCACTTGCATCTGTTCACTGACAGGAGAGGCAGGAATCACAAAATCCCAGCATGGCAGGGGTTGGCAGGGCCCTCTGTGGGTCCCCCAGCCCAACCCCCTGCCCAAGCAGGGTCACCCAGAGCAGGGGGCACAGCACCGCGGCCAGGCGGGGCTGGAATATCTCCAGAGAAGGAGACTCCACAGCCTCCCTGGGCAGCCTGGGCCAGGGCTCCG